TGTCTGTTCTCTCGAATCTCTCTGTACATTTTCTTGTACACCTTAATCACTTTCGGAGGATTCGCACGTGGATTCTCGAATTTGCAAATGCAAGTGCAGAAACATTGTCTCAATCTTCCTAGGATCACATTTATCGAATCATTATTACATACTATTGAAGAATTGATCATTATCGATAGTTTCTCTCAAATCTTGAGATACATTATCTCGAAGTGTGTGTAAATTACGCTTGCACCTGGTTTCGAAATTCCATGGCGGAGATGATACATGCGGGTCTCATGTACGCGGTAGCTTAATAAACGAAAGTTATCGTCCGAATATTTGTCAGGACACTAGATCATCGCGAATAGCAGCACCTGTCGACACGCGGACAGTAAAGGCTTTCTTTCCCTTATCTTCTCTTCTTCTCTCCCCGTTCTTAACTCGTTCGTTAAGCCCTCAGAGCGCTCTATTTTGTCTGCACCTGCGGATGCCGCGTGTCATGACGCGTCCGTCCCTCGGGGAGCAGAACGTTGGGAGACACGTTGATTAGTGATAATAATAATAGTAATAATAGTAATAGTAGTAATAGTATTAGAGTAAGAGTAGTAATATATTACTAGCAATAGTAGCGATAGTAATAGGAGTAACAATAACGATAGTGGGAGGGGGGGGAGGTAAATAGTTTCGGGAGGGATGGTAGTAGAAGTAATGGTAACGGTAGAGTCGATAATGATAGCCGATAATGATGGAATAGGAGCGGTGGTAAAAAGAGCGGAGGAAGAACAAAAGTGTCACAGAAGGTCTTGTATCGGTGTTCATGTCCATTTGTATTAGTGTGTACACGTGTAATTGACGCGACAATAAATTAACGCGAAACAGAAAGTGAAGGCGGCTCCTCGAGAGTCGCCGGCCGGACGTCGAGCGCTCCAGAGGGTGGGCGAGAGATTCATATTCACCATCGCCTCTCGCCCGCGCGCCTTTTCAGAATCCACGAATTGCGGATCGCGAGCTGCGTTGGTTATCGCGGACTTATTTGCCCTGCGGCGTTAGCGGATAGAAATCGATGAGATGACTCAACGACGTCAAAGTCGAGGGCTATGATCCTACACACATCAACGATTCGTGCGTACTACTGCTGCTACCAACGTTGCTGACGCCGGCGCTTCCAATAACATTGCTATTACCGCAGCTGCTGCCGCAACTATTCCCCGACGACATCAGGTGTTGCTGTTGCTGTTGTTGTTGTTGTTGTTGTTGTTGTTGTTGTTGTTGTTGCTGCTGCTGCTGCTGCTGCTGGTGATGATGATGTTGATGATGATGATGATGGTGGTGGTGGTGGTGATGATGCTGTTCCTGGGTCGTCGTTGTACTTCTCAGAATGTCATCCGCTGAAAGAGGCGTCAGCTTCCATCCGGGCATAAAATCCAGGTCAAGATCAGGCCCAATATCCACATCTAGTAATTCGTTGTTGTTGAGCGGGTCGAGCGGCGACTGACTCGATAAAGATAGTACACTACCCCAATTGATCGATCGGCTGTCGTCGCTGTCACCGATGCCAGAATCGACGTCGGTCTCACCCGACGACGTTGGAGGCACAGGGAAAGGTGTTAATCTACCCTGTTCGGGCGGTTGCAATTGAGCGATTGGCGCCGGTACGACTGGCTCCATAGGTGGTGGACTCCTGTCCCTTTCCATCTCACGTTCTAAGTGTCTCAAAGTATTGCAGATCAGTACCGATCGGTGAAGGCTCGGATCCGGGAATTGGCGGTACCTGGCGAGTTTGCACATTGAAATGTTAAGCACAGCGAGTCGCCGCTGCCTGTAACAGGCCCGGCCGCGCCGACACCAGCTGGACTTAGAACCTTCGCAACACCGCTCGTTCGCTCGATAACTCGAACCGAGCTCCAGATAACTCTTGCCATTTTCTTCTCGACGTATCGTTGGTGGCTCATAATGATGAAGAGCACCCCATTGTGGTTGAGATCTCGATAGCTGGCTGTAACCGTTGCTGCCGATAGGACTAACGGTGGCGCGTTGATGATGATAATAATGTTGCGTGTGATGATGCAACTGTGTCACTGTGGACGAAACTGATGTCGAGGATGACGCCGGCGATTGTTGTTGTTGCTGCTGTTGCTGTTGTTGTGACTGCTGTTGCTGTGCCTGTTGCGGCGATTGGGAAGATGGATGGTGTTGCGATGGGTGTTGCGGGGATTGCTGTTGCTGCTGTTGCTGCTGTGACTGCGAAGAACTTGTCGTCGAGGGCTGGCACGAGTTCGTTGCCTGTAGGCAGGGCGAGCTCACTTCCATCTCGTAATATGACGTTGATGTCTGGTTCAGGGGCGGCCCATAACTGTCGTCCATCGCCCACCAGCTACCATCTACGCGTCCGAGCTTCGACGGACTCTCGCCTAAGTCCATGTGGAATTCCATACAGCCGACACCACCCTCCAATTTGCGTTTTCCTGCCGTCGCCTGCAGACCCATCATTGCACAACTCTGAAAAAAGTCACAAATCGCTAACATTAGCTCTATGTATTTCTTCGCGCGCATCCAGCTCTATCTGTACAAAAGACGTAGTAGTAGTTATTATTAGTCTTCAACTACAGTTATGAAAACTATATCTAAATTCTAAGATGTTCTATTTGAGTATAGAATGCAAGTGAATTTCTGCCTTATAGTAATTGATACAGGAAGGTTCAAAGTATTTTTACTCAGAATTTAGAATCTCATAGTATCAATTGTACACACAAGCATCTAAAATTTTCGCTTTGAGTCCAAATGACTAATGTTATGTAATCGAGAGTCAGGTATATTCCATTATATTCAACCGCTACGACTAAAGTTTGTTTAAGAGTCAGCTAGTTATCTCAAAGTTATTCGTCGATGTTGATGCAACAAAGACGAATAGGCGCGTTTAGTTTTGCGCGACGATCGGAGGCGAGAGAGCAGGCAAGAGAGGACGTGACTCAGACGCTCGGCACTCCATCGGGGCGATGGAAAAAGTGACGTCACGCGACTCCTTAGCCCTGCCGGGAAGAAATCATCAGCGGAACGCGGACGATCGCTGGCGAGCGAGCTGGCTACAGACTTCCAACAGCAGTTATCTTAGAAATGCTCGCTGGTATTTACGACAAAGAAACTCACAAGCAAGACAAAGAAAAGCTATACCTATTTTTTTTAATATATAATTTTATGAGCTGTGAAACAGTCGGATAACGAAACCATCTTTTGTTCAAATAAAAAAAAAACAGATTTATACATTTATCAAGTTTAATTCCTAACCAAAGAGTATCTTTATTGTTGAGTATTATCGATTTCTATGTATTTTGTTTTTTTTTTTCGATATTAAAAATTGTATGAGTTTTTTTCCTCGAACTGGGAATGAGGTCGAGATATGAATACCGGGATTATAATTTCTCTTCGTCTCGTCGATCGTAGGGCGGGTCGAACTCGCGTGCGTATCTTGGCGCCGCGGACCCTACGAAAGCAGTACCCACGCAGCCGTGGATGATTTACGCGCGTACGAGGTCGCGCGAGTGAAAGTAAGTAAATAATCGTTCCTCCCTCCAAGCCCTTGCTCACCTCGGAAGACAGAGAGACGCGTTTCTCCGTTGGTGGGAGCAAGAACGCGTTCTCGCGAGCGTGAGAAAGAGAGGCTGGGAGAAGGGTGAGAGGCCGGCGATGATGAGAGGGGAAGAGAGGGGGATGTATTGCCACGATAGTGTGCTCGGTTGTGCTCGGAGATACCGTGAGATGTCACCAGCGACATGTTTGTCGGCTGACCGAGTCCACGTGGCCTCCACATGACGTTTGATTTCATGGAAGAAAGATAGGAAAGACAGACGGAGAGAGAGAGAGAGAGAGAGAGAGAGAGAGAGAGAGAAAGATATACATATATATACATATATTATAACAGAAGATGCTGGGACTGTTACTCTGGCTGGAGGCCAGACGAAAAAGCGACGACGATAGTCGTCAGGTCGACTGAGAAGGGTAACGACAGTACTTTTGGTCCCCTGAGCACACGGACGCATGAAATTCAAAATGAAGGAAGAAGACGCGAATTCTACCTCCCTTCCCTTCTTCATAATCACGTGATTAATCTCATTACCAAAGTCGATTATCGTCTCTTTGACTTTCGTCGCTTGACTCGATTATAGAACGAATTGCCACTTACCAAACTTTGATAATTCGCACAACTTTCATAAATTCACGTTAGAAATAGTTGTGGATACTATTCCTATTCCGAACGTTTCCAATTCACGGCTTATCAAATTGAAAGTCTCTCTCTTCTCCCCCCCTCTCTTTTTTTTCCTTAAGAAAAAGGCGTGTCTTTCTTCTCATGCAATATATAACTTTTGAAAGTCGACAACTGCGAAACGAAATTATTCTATAGCGTCTCGACAGTCGAGAGTCTTCGACGCTTTTACGCTCTTTTTTTTGTTTTGAAAAGTTGGAATCATCGATGTGTGGTAACATACGTCTACTTTTCATAAGTGAGAACTGATAACAGCGGCTGCAAAGCGTTTCATCGTTTCACTGTGTGCTGAGCGACCAATGAAATATTAAGTTTCATTAATTTTCATATGGACGTGATATCCGCTGATTCGCAAAACGAAGCCGCACGCTCGAAACGTTTTGTAAGCGAATTTCGTGCGCAAACGGGACGATCTAATGGCTCGGGAAACAAACGTCATCGCGTTTTCATCGAACTCGGCGTCCGCACGTCATTACCGACGCCGCCTCGAGCTGCGCTGATAGCGCGACTCCGCTGGCGGTAGTGAACGATGTGGTGACCGAGCTTGTGGCGTATACGATGGACTGGAGACTATAGGCAAAGTCAACGTGACGCGCAAATGTACGTTCCCGCTATTGCCGTTTCTATTCCGTATGATTCCGTTATATTCCATAAATCAGCATTAAGAAATTCTAAATTTGATAAAATCAAGTCGATAAATAGACAACTTTTTTCACGATCTTATTTCTTTATCGCGTAATTACGCGATGTGTATCGGTTATTCGAGTTCCGTGCTATTTAGTAATCAAAGCTATATAAATTTGTGTATAATTTTATACTCGACTGAGAGTGACCCAGTTTTGTCTTATCAGTTAAGACAAGTAGATTTGGACAGTAAGATTTGTACTCCGAACGTTTTCTACTTGCCACGTAGTAGTTACGTTCCTGGCCTGACTCGAGTGTCTCTAGCGGCAACAGCTCGGCTCTTGCGACCGCGTATATCCGCCGCAGCCGGCCGTAGCGGCCTACTTGGAATATGACTCGCTCGCGGAGATTCTCCTTCCAACGCGACGTGGTCAACCGGCCAGCTCGAATCTCCGAGGAACGTTCGTGGAATCATCGTGGAGGAAAAACGACGCGGCGGATCTAATCTCGCCTTCTAGCGTTCGAGAGAATGACGCCAACTCTTTTCCGAGCGACTCTTTCTTTTTCTCAAAGTACTACATTCTTTTGCTAAAAGTGACATTCGCTGCAACAGCTCACTTTGCGAATCCTTGAAGAATCTGTATTAAAAACGTTTTGAGCAAATCCGAGACGAATAAATCCGTCCGAGACGAAACTTAACGAAATTTAATCATTCGATGAAATATTTCAAAATTTTTGTTACTTTGTATCTACTGATTACTTCGCCTATTACTTATTTTCAATCGATATAAAAAATATCTGACATTTTTTTTATTTTACTCCGTATTTCATTTAATAAATATTGCTTTAATAATAAATTATGCGTTTTAATTAATAAAATTATGCCTCGCGAGTAATATGAATTGCTCGTTCGAATTGTCGATTTTGCAAGTTTCATCAGATTATCACGCGAAGATCCGTGCAAAGCGAGAATCTCGATGCACGTTGCTCTACGTCATGAAAGTGCGTTGGGAGATAAACTCGGATGAGGGTGGTACGCGTAACGTAGGTTAATAATTTCGTCGATCGGTGAAACTTGGTCGTTGTCTCCCGATTACCTCCCATAGGGAGTAGTACGTAACTCGGGGGTATGTACTTGAAAATTTCGGCGAAACTCGGCGAATGGGGCGCGCGCTCGACTGTGGATACGGCCGTAATCTCTGGCGTCTCCTCCTCTTACGTGCGATATTTGCGAAGCGTGACCGGGCACTTGTTGAATCGACAACGGGAACGGGAACAAGAGGAACCTGGGGGACAAGAGAGAAAGGAGATGCGAGAGGGAAAGAGAAAGAGAGACCAGGGCAAAGCGTAGAGTACAGTGCGGGAGAAAGGGGAGACGGATGGACGGTTGGAGGTAAGATGGTTAGGGAAAGGAGGAAGCGTAAGGGGATGAGGGAAAGGACGAAGAGGTACACAAAACGTGGGAGGAGGGTGACCACGAAAGAGGGTTAAGGGGTGATTGAGTAGGACTCGAGGGTGAGGCGTCGCACAGATGGGACAATAGGGATGAGGAAGGGATGGAAGGAGGAAATATACTGGGAAGGATTAGTTGTATGTGGCGATAATACGCGGTTCTTAACCGGCTGTAAATCAGAGTTGAGAGAGGCGCCACGCCCCGCGACGATCCTTTTCCACTTGTGAAATCCTCGCGGCTTACATCTCGTTTGTAAACCTCGCGGCCACGTGTCTATCGGCAGGGGTTAATGTGAGGCTTAATAAGGATTTCGCTCCCGCGGTTCAAAGGAAATGATCGTAATGTATCACTGATATCTGATACTTTTATTTGTGATATACAAATACAAAGGAAAGGACGGTTTTCTTGAAATATCTGAGAATTTAACTAGAGACAAATCTGAAAATAATTTTGGATTGTCAAAATATAATTATGTAGGACGCTCAAACTAGTGCTAGAACGTCCAAATCATGAATTTCTCATTCTAAAATTCCATAACTTTTCTCTAATTTCGAGACAAAATTTCATAATTTTCCCTGCTTTCAATATTTTGAAATTTTTTTACATTTTCATCCTAATCTAGAAACTGCTGAATATTTTATTGAGAGAGCAATTTAACATAGCAATGTGAATTACTATTAATGTTACGATACTGCTTACATTTAATTGTTAAGTTGATAGTATTCCAAAACTGCGTAGGTGTGATGTGTGTCTATCAAATTTTTATAAAACTAAGAATTTTAATTTTTCAAAAAATTCCTTGATTTTTCCTAATTTCCCCGATCATTTTCAATTTCTCTGACATTTCCTTGATCAGCAATTTTATGGCAACAAAATGCAAACTTTTTACAGCACGCTTGAGATTTCTACATAATTATATTGATAATCAAATAAAATTATTTCTAGATCTGTATTTAACTAAACTTTTAAATACTTTATTAAAATCTTTCCTTCCGTGTAGGCTTGTCCGATCGCTATTTTATACGACGTACATTCCAAAGTGTGCACGCGCTTCTTGACTTTCGTACAAGGCTGAACAATCCTAAGGGTTTCTTTGTGTCACGAATAGTCGCATTTGCGCGTCGCAGTCTATCGGCGCGATCGAGCTGCATATAACTCACTCCAATATTGATACTCAAGTATAAAGGA